AATGATAGCATCCTCAGGGGTCCCTCCTGCATGCCCTCCCTTGTCTTCACTCCTCCTTCTCCTCCTCAGTTTCTATGAAATCTCATCACTCTGGGTTTTCAGGGCCCCTTGGCTGGAGCTGAGTCTGTCTCTGTGGCCCTGGGATTTTGGATGTGAAATTCCACAGTAAACCAAAAGGCAGGTGGGGGGCCTGCAGAGGGGGGGCGCAGGAACTGCTGGAAAGTGTAAGCTTCCTGGACTGGATCTTCCATTCTGGGACAGGGCTCAGCTCCAGAGGTAGGAGCTGGCCCCACATCCCTACTTAGCGGCTACAGGAACTCAGCAACACCTGACCTACTCCCAAGGCACCTCACCTGTGGGCAGGACGCCCGGTAATTACATGCCCACAGAACGTGGAGCTCCACTTGCAGAAATGGACTCAGGAGGCTGTGAGTCCCACAGAGGAGTGTAGAGGCCCAGGACGAGAGAGGCTGGATGGGAAGCCCAGGGTGATGGGGCAGGGCGCCCCACACAGCAGCCAAGTGAGGGGCAAGGGTGCAAGGGCCAATCTAGGAGATGCTGGCTTATCCTTGAGAATGTCCCTATGAGAGGGTGAAAAGCTCGGAAGTGGAGGGTAGTGGGGAGGAGAGGGCACAGGCCAGGCACAGAGAAGAGCCCATCCTGGTCCACTGGAAAGTGATATCCAGAAATGAGACAGGGTCTGAATACCAGTGGCCCCAATGTGGCATCTCGAGGGGCCAGCAGAACTAGAGTGCTGCTGTAAGCACCAGGGGCAGACAGGCCTGCTTATCCGGCAGGTGGGTCATTACAGGCCCCTGGCTGTATCCCGAGACAGAGCAGGTCCCTGCCCCCAGAGGGGCGTCAGGTGAGAAAAATGAGGCAAAGGCCCCAGTCCCTGTCCCTAGGTGCTCAGGCCCCACATTCTAACTATCTTAAGTCTGGTGGTTCCTCCCACAGACGGCAGGGTCAGGGTTCCGGGGCAGCTTTCATGCATCACGTGCCAGGGATGCACCTGGCTCACGGGGACAGGGAGCAGGGGCAGGAAAGGTGGAGGGGGTGCAGGCCACAACACACCAGAGGAAGGGACACGGATGCTGTGAGAGCCCAGCAGTAAAGGTCCACCTACACAGCAGGCCTGAGGGACCACACTGTACCCCAGCTCAGCTCAGCTCAGCTCTGAGTTGAAGCCCAAGGAGATCCCTTATCTTCAGGGGCCTTATTTCATGGTCTGAATAAAAGAATCTTGAAATTCAAGAATCTTGAAATCCAGCATTTCCAGCTGCTTCCGTTTGTTTAGCAAATACCTGCCCAGACAGCAGGGCCTGGGTCACAGCCTGTCCTAAATCTCCCATTATGGAGGCCCCTCCCCAGAAGTCCTGGGCTGCCCTGGGCTCCCAGCAGTGGGGAGAATGCTTCCAACTGCAGGCAGCCCCAACCTGGGCACCTACTACTATACCCCACCCTCAAATACAGAGAGTACCCCAGAATATCAGGGCTCTGCTCCCCAGCTTGAAGGAGCCTCTGGCCCACAAGTAACATTGGTTGGGTGAGGTTGGGCCTGGCACTGGGTCCTTGGTGCCAGTCAGCAGAGCAGGAGTAGAGAGGAGCTCGGGAGCTATGTCCCCTGGCCAGAGCACAGTGGGGAAGGATAGAGGTGACTGGTCTGACTGTTCCTTAGATGAAAGACACAGGTTCAGCTAGGATGGGATGGACGTGTGGGGGTAGGGTGGCCAGCTGGTAGTGGTGGGGAATTCTGCTATTTGCTCTGTGGGGCAGCCATCTACCCCCCCTCCAGAGGGAGCCTCGTAGAGTAAATGGGCTAAGATATAAGACCTCCATCCCAGGCTGGGTAGCCAGTGCCTGATCCTCAGTGGACCCTTAGCCCGTTGGCATTCCTGGCCGTCTTGGGCACCAAGGTCATTTGTGAGCAGCTCAGGCTCCTGGCAGGCCATGAGCACCAGGCCCCACTGGGTGTCAAATGCTGGTCTCCGCTCTCCAGATCTTAGGGGGCCTGTGTAAGACACAGCATGGAGAGGCCCAGCTCTGTGTCGCCATCCTAGGGAACTGAAATATTAAAATTGTGAAATTTTTTTAAAAAAGGTTTTATGTGGCAAATAATTTTTTAGGAAAAATCACTCCTCTGGCTCTAAGATGGAAATATGACTTTTAAGAGAAAAAGGGCCACCTGCAGCATGCACTAACACAGGGCGAGGCTAACAGCTCCGTCCAAGATGGTCTGTGGTAGCTTGTGGACTGTCACCAAATGCAACAGAGCCCAGGAAAGTGTGCTGGAAGGAAGGCAGGCAGCCAACTGCCGCGTGGCCATATAAAAACAGCTTTTAAGCATTTCAGTACTTAAAATACTAAGCTCACAGGGGTGCAACATGATTAAAATGCCAAGGAATAAGTTTGTTGTTTTTTTATTTTATTGACTTCAGTGGGTGTAATATTGGTTAATAAAATTATATAGGGTCCAAGGGTACAATTCTATAACACATCATCTATATATTGTATTGTGTGTTCACCACCCAAAACCAAGTCTCCTTCCGTCACCATTTATCTCCCTTACCCTCCTCCACCTCCCCACCCCCTTTCCCTCTGGTAATCACCCTACTGTTGTCTGTGTCTATGAGAATTTTTGCTTAATCCCTTTACCTTTTTCACCCAGTCCCCCAACCCCCTCCCCTCTGACAGCTGTCAGTCTGTTCTCTGTATCTATAAGTGGATAGAAAAGCTGTGGTACATTTATATAATGGAATACTATTCGGCTATAAAAAAAAAAAAAAAAAAAAAAAGGAAATCTTACCCTTTGAGACAGCATGGATGGAACTGGAGAGTATTATGCTAAGTGAAATAGGACTGTGAGAGAAAGACAAGTACCATATGATCTCACTTATATATGGAATGTAATGAACAAAATAAACTAACAAACAAAATAGAAACAAGGCACTAGTTTTAATCCTGCAAAACGTGGCCCCAGGGGCTGCACGGTGACTTGGACTCTAGAAGGACAAACACTACAATCACATTCCAACATGTTATTTCTAAACACATGCTTTCCTCTGGGCTCATTTGCAAAATACTACACTTCACAGCTAGACTATGAGTGTACGGAACACTAGGAATGTTAGAAACATAACTCAGGCAAGGCCAGGTTGCCCTAACCGCCCCC